GCAGAAGTAATTCTGGCAATGGTGGAATCCGAAAGGTCCGGAGGAGTCGTTCCTTGCACTGTAGGAGTCGTTCCTGGCACTCACGGGTGGAGCTAGGCCTGGATCCTGAACAATTGGTTGGTGGCTCAGTTCTTGTTGATCTCGGACGAGCAGCCATAGACTACTCTGCACGCTGTTGGATGCGGGTACTTGGTCTTGGCATTATTTCTAAAGAGAAACTGCAAACAGGGCAGACTACAAGCCACTGATAATATCTTGTCACATGATAGGGCAATATATTACCAGGCACTGTTCCACAACAAACACAATTTTAAAGTTTACAACAAATAAACATCTACTGATCTACAACTCTATAGTAAACGATTGTCGTTAAATATGGCATACCACAAAGGTAGCCGAACAAATTAATAACTGGGCCATCTGAAAACAACTTGTCGCGCCGTCCCACATATATTGAATTGAACTATGGGCATTTGAACACCTAGGTCCTATCCCATGTAGGCATATGTTTCCATGACCAAGAAACTGTGGCCTAAATTTTTGCTAAAAGTGCATAAATTCAAGGACAATACTGTACAGTGGTTTGATTCAAACAGAACGACAAAACAATTAACATTTGTACAAAACGCCCCAAGTACACAACATAAACTATATACAGTACCGGTGCCTCACATCACACTATATTAATATATAAAACAGAAGCCACAAATTCATGAATGTTTCCTTCGCATGAAAATATAATTGCTCAATTCTCAATGTGGTATTTGCAAACAGCAATTGCTCAGCCCAGACACATATTCACACAGACCCATGGGCCCCGGGAATTACACCATAAATTGATAATCATATCACTTTTGTATGATTTGTATTAATGTCGTTTATGACTTTATTGAATATATGCACATGACATTTAATAAGTACAATAACCTTGGAAAAATCCAAGTACTGCAAATAAAATGAAGTAAAATATCGATCGTGCAACATATTAAGAGCTTTAAAAATTGCTCCTCGATAACTCCTGTATAAGATATACTGTCCGTGGGGGTTGCAGTGAATCCCATCAGGAGACAACAAATCAATTCTACATGCATTGTCAACTTTACGATGGTCCCAAAGAAATACGCCACGTTCATTCGCCAAAACGACAGACAAATACTGTCGCAGAATAGAAGCTTTTGCATTAAAAGCATGGTCCGGTGTATCGGAATGCGGAATGTGCCTATTTATAACTTGGCACACGGCAATGACCCTTATGGTTAACTCGTAATTACTATTCGCTGAACAAATAGTTCCTTTTATCTCTGTTTGAAATTTTTGCGTTTACATTGCAAAGTGTAAAATATAGGATTTAAACAGCCTATTTTATTTTATGAGTTTCGAAATAGTATATTTTATATCTATCTTAATTTCTAACTGCATATACTTTCAGTACTTTTTGATTTTAATATGTCTAACATAAGAGCTAGGGTAATAGTACAAAGTATACTTTGACATAGAACGGAGTAGAGAGGGTTAAATTCCAATTTTCTGTGTATGCCATGCTTGAATTTTCCAAGACTGGAAGATAAGAATGTCAATTTGATGTGTTGTGCATGTGACAACTTCATTATCGAAGTGTCCCTAACTGAAAACAGTTAATGTACCTAGTTTGCTTGTTGAAAATTTATATGAATACATTTAATTACTGTAGCTATACCACCTGCATGATCTGCTTAATAATATATAGGTAACCGTCTCCTTAGTTTCGGCTACATTTTATATACAGTATCTTTAAAGACACCCCGACATTCTGACTATTTTATTAATCATTTTGTATTACTGCATGGTATATTACGACTCTTGCCTATTATTTTATTACATTTTTTTTACAATATTATTCGAATTCATATATTTAAACTATTGTATTACTATTTTCGCAGTAATTTTAATACTGTTTGTATTTAATATACTGCAATTGATCCAATATTTTAAACTATTTTATATATATGTACTATATTTTCGACTATTTTTAACCTATTTTATGTATATTTAAAATTTATATTATACCAAAGTTTCACTTCACTTTATTATTTTATTTATATATTGCACACTATTTTAAATATATTTTATCCTATTTTAAACCTATTTTTATCCGTGCTTCACCGTTTAAGAAAAATAAAATCTGTTTAAAATATAGGATTTTTCTGTTTCAAAAAACCAATTTATAGTAGCTATAAAATGCGATTAAAACAGAGTTCTAATAGGTTTAATATATAGGATTTGTAGGCTTATATATTATGGCATAGAGTTAAAAATATTTTTTTTGTACAGGAATGAAATAGAAAGTAAAATAGGGATAAAAACGGATTAATTTAAAATAGTGGTGTTTTCGAGGGGCGTAGGAACTCACTAAAAAGCATCAAAAGTTTGGGAGGACGGCACCGACTTCTAAGCGCACTTTAGGGTATTGAAAAGAGCACCTAAAAAAATTTTCCCGCAAATGTTGGCCACGGGAGGGGAGAAAAATTTTCCCGTCATACCATACCGAATTTGATCAAATGTTTTTAAAAAACGTGGTAATTTTCAAACAAAAATGGCACCTTTTATGATAATGTAGTATTTACAGCGACATTTTCCTGTACAAAAGGGGCACTTTTCATCACAAAAAAGGCAATTTTAGTCCTTTTAAAAAAGTTGCAACCTTGAGATGCCTACGTTAAACCAAGGTATAGCTGTTTGGCAATTATATATCAGTGTTTCTTGGTGTAATGGATCATACTTCGTCTTCGAGAAATCGTCGTGCGCAAAAATATGTTCTGTTTTCGTAAAAAACACTAAAGCGATAGCGTTTGAAGAGTTTATATTGTCAGGAAACATTCACATAGAAGATAGCGATTGAAAATCTCAGGTAACCGTTGCTTTTCATTGTTGTTTTACTGAAAAATGTTGTTCACTCCTATACAAACGCCATTTTTAACTACGTTTTGGACAGTTAACTATACCCTAAAACATAGTTAACTTTAACTACTTTTTAACTGCAGTTAAGGCTAACTACACTTTTATAAAACCGGCTTAACTATACGTGATTAAAGTTAACCACTTTTTAACTACTTTTTAACTGCAGTTAGCGCTAACTACGTTTTTATACAACCGGTCCCTGGAAAATAATTTGTAAACTTGCTCCTTCCAATCACTCTCAGGGGCGGCGCTACAGGTGTGTGTGTGAGGGGGCACACCCCCACTTCTCTGCATATCTGCAAATTATTATCTTAGTCGGCAAAACTTGGCTAAAGATAACCACTGAAAAAAACAAAATTGACTTCCTGCATAATTGAATTCAAACCGAATATCACGACTAGCATGCATCAAAGAAACCACAAATGCAGCAATGCATATTCTTTCTAACGAAATTTGTTTGGTTATTGTTGTAAAGTTGTTGCTTATTATACTGTTGTATAAAAGAGGGAATGAAGCGATCGGTTTTCCACTTTCCGGCTAAAGGTAACGTTTCAGTTATATTCCGATTTCAATGATTCGTAAATGCGTGATTAATAGTGCTCCAAGACGTAAAACAGATTTTAAGAAATGCCGACAAAATTACCAAACAACAGTCGGCAAAAGATCGTCCCCCCCCCCACCAGCTCCCACACACACTCGAAGAGGGCTAGCGCCGCCCCTGATCACTGTAACTTTCCTAACCACTTGACTATTGATGGTAAAATATTGACTAATCCTGAAGATATCGCTGATTAACATGAGAAACCCTGTTTCGCTTAATAACTTCACTATTAATTCAAATTGGGACTACCTTTCTAATTTTCATTCTTCTAAATTCCTCCAAATACAACCTTTACTATCCCCCCAATATCTGAAAGTTTTGTTCGAAACAGCCTTAATCATCTGCAGTGAAACTAAAGCCGCTGGTTTAGATAGAATTGGTGAATATTTTCTTAAAATAGCTGCAACAACTTTCACCTGCTCTGACAAAGATATATATTCTCAGTATTAATTCGGCTAGTTTTCATGACTTGTGAAAAATTGAAAAAGTTTTACCTCTTTTCAAATCGGGTTCACTATTTGACCGTTCCAACTTTCGCCCTGTCTCAGTTTTGGCCGTTATCTCTAAGATATTTGAACGCCATGTTCATAATTATTAAAGTATATAGTATATAGGTAGAATCAAAGAGATCTGATCAGGAAAACAAAGAAAAAATCCGCGCGTTAGAGGAAGCAAATCAACATCTGCTAGACAGCGTGATTGATCTCAAGGCTCGATCCATGCGTGACAACCTACTCTTTTACAATGTTCAAGAAGATGAAAAAGAAAACACGAGCGACAAGATTTATAAAATCCTCGAAGAAAATTTGCAAATCCCTGATGCCAGAGAGAAGATTAAAATAGATCGATCTCACCGAGTCGGAAGGAAGCGTGATAGCAACCGTAAGCCGAGAGCAATCGTTGTGAAATTTAACTATTTTCAAGATCGCGAACAAATTCGAATGAATGCCAGGAAACTCAGAGGCACACGCATTGGAATCGCGGAACAATTTCCCGAAGAAATCGAAAAGATTAGACAAACATTATATCCCGAAATGAAGAAGGCGAAAGCGCAAGGTCACAGAGTGCGTATGGTTCGAGACAGGTTGTATATAAACAATGTCGAGTTCAAACATTACTAATATTTGTATAGAGTTATTTTTTACTTTTAATCATATATACATAACCAGATATGGCCAGTCTAAGTTTAGACAAGGAATTATGTTCTACCTGTTCTCTTAAAATCAGTAAAAATCAAAAAAGCATCAGGTGTCTCACATGCGGGGGACGGTTTCATACTCGCGCCTCATGCATAAAATTACCAGTCACATGTCATCAAACGGAAATTGATATATGCAACATGTGCTTAAGTTGTTCGCTTCCTTTTTATTCAATTGATGACTTAGAATTCCATTTTATTTTTGGCAATTTTAATAGACTTCCATGCGATGAGGTTATGGATAGACTAACACAACTCAAGTTTAATCCTCTAGACTTTGATAACAATATTACTAACGCTCGACATTTTGAAAATTATATGCAGGAAAATTTTGATTGTTTAACATGCAACTATTACCTACCAAATGACTTTCCTGCAATTAATTCTGATAGCAAAAAACTATCAATACTAAACCTGAATATAAGAAGTATAGCAAATAAGTTTGACTCGCTTAGAAATCTACTAAATACTTTAAAACAACCCTTTTCTACAATTAGTTTAACTGAAACTTGGCTTAATGACAAAAATAGTGAAAATTTCAATCTTAGTAATTTCGATTTTATTTGTTCTAACAGGGAAAATAGAAAAGGCGGCGGAGTAGGATTTTTTATTTCAAATAGTTTAAACTACAAACTACGAACTGACCTGAATATAAACGAGGATGGAATAATTGAAACGCTTTTCATTGAAATTAATTTTAACAACTGATAAAAATATTATCGTTGGTACTATCTATAGACCGCCAAGTGGTAATTTTGAAATGTTTGAAAATAAACTAAATACAATACTAACAGAAGTTGACAAAACAAGGAAAATAACATATTTGACAGGGGATTTTAACATTGATCTTTTGAAATCTGATGATTGTGAATATTCTAGTAGATTTTGTGAGCAACTTTTTACCTCATCGTTTTTTCCACTTATAAATAGACCAACTAGAATTACCCAGCATACAGCTACTTTAATTGATCACATCTTTACAAACGATCTTGAACATATAGATTCAAGCGTGAACGGATTAATCTTCTCAGATATTTCAGATCATCTCCCAATATTCATATAGCTTGTTTATCCTCAAACAATAATGACCCCAAAATGGGAAATTCACATTTCAAACGAATAATAAACGAAAATAATCTTGACTTGTTTCTAGCATCTGTGAAAAATATATCATGGGAAAGTACTTTCAAATCCAATGACCCATGTGAATCCTATACGAACTATCATGATAATTTGAAGATAGCAATTGATAAAAGTTTTCCCTTAGTAAAAATAAAAGACAAATTTGTAAACCACACAAAAAGTCCCTGGATGACAAATGGTATATTTAAGTCCATATCAAAGAAAAATAAACTTTATAAAAAATTTCTTAAAAATCCAACTCACAAAATGAAACAGACTATAAAAAATACAAAAACAAACTGAATCACGTAATAAAAACCGCAAAAAAGGCCTAATATGAAAAACAATTTGTTAAGTACAAAAATGATACAAAAAAAACATGGCAAACTATCAATGAAGTTCTTAACAGAAATAAAACAAGAAAAAATCTACCTGATACTTTTTTACAAAAGAGTTCATATAACAATGTTACGAATCCTCAGGAAATTGATAACAAATTTAACGAATATTTCGTAAATATAGGCCCTCAACTAGCAAAAAAAATTCCAGGAAATGATAACATAACATACGAAAGCTACCTTAATGGTAATTATGTTGAAAGTATGTTTATTGAACCTGTGATGAAGTTCTTAACAGAAATAAAACAAGAAAAAATCTACCTGATACTTTTTTACAAAAGAGTTCAAATAACAATGTTACGAATCCTCAGGAAATTGCTAACAAATTTAACGAATATTTCGTAAATATAGGCCCTCAACTAGCAAAAAAAATTCCAGGAAATGATAACATAACATACGAAAGCTACCTTAATGGTAATTATGTTGAAAGTATGTTTATTGAACCTGTGATGAAGTTCTTAACAGAAATAAAACAAGAAAAAATCTACCTGATACTTTTTTACAAAAGAGTTCAAATAACAATGTTACGAATCCTCAGGAAATTGCTAACAAATTTAACGAATATTTCGTAAATATAGGCCCTCAACTAGCAAAAAAAATTCCAGGAAATGATAACATAACATACGAAAGCTACCTTAATGGTAATTATGTTGAAAGTATGTTTATTGAACCTGTGATGAAGTTCTTAACAGAAATAAAACAAGAAAAAATCTACCTGATACTTTTTTACAAAAGAGTTCAAATAACAATGTTACGAATCCTCAGGAAATTGCTAACAAATTTAACGAATATTTCGTAAATATAG